TATAAAGGTTCTTTCCCATTGTGTAAAAACATATTAATTCAACAAACATCATCGTTGTCCACGTTGAATCAATCCATTAAAACATTCTGTGAGTACAATTATTATATCACACTATGAATGTATTAGAATGCTTTACAGTATTATAAGAAATAACTAATTCCTTCAGAAGTATTAGCTTATAGAATAATATGTAAATATGTAAATATGTGTAAATATATTTGACAATTTGTTTTCCAAAGAATTTTAAATGAATAGGTATAACATATATTACAAAGATGAAAAAAATTTTCTAACAAGTAGTGTTTCAATGCTTTATATTATGCAGAATCTCGTATTAAATGTCAAAACTTTATGAACGTGTAGAAGATCTATAAAAAAAAGTTTTCAAGAGATGTGCTCATTTTTATGTTTTGGAAAAAAATTATAAAAAGATGTTTTTATTTTTTACTTATTTATCATTTATTCATTTACACATTTATTTATTTATTTATGTTGTCATTCCTTAATTAAGGCATTGTTCAAAATGTTGATTTTTTGTAGCAATGCAAGCATACGGATTGTACTAACAACTCGTAGACTGTTGCAATTAGAGTAACGATCATATGACTTTTTCACGATCATATGACTAAGATGGAAATGTAAAAAGTGAAAATTTTATCATTAAAAATAATGGAGAAATATTTCACTTTTCATGTTTTCATCTTAGGAAAAAAATTATGATCGTTATTTGAATAGTATAGTGCTCTGATGATTTTCCTGATTAAACAATACTTTCATTAAAGAAGTGATACATACAATACATAAATAAGTAATAAATAAATAAAAAATGAAAAACTTTTTTGTTTTTTGTTTTTTGCGATTTTCTCCAAAATGAAATAAAAATAGCAAAAATCTATAAAAGACTTCTTTTTACAATACCAATCCTTTATATGCCTCCGAAGTTTTAACATTTAAAAATTCGACACATCTTATATATACCCAAAAATCACAGCATATTTTGTGTTATATTATTTATAAATTGTAATCAAATACGTATATATTTTATAATTTATACTTGCTTGGATATTTTATTCTACATTATTTTAAATATATTATTTTTGTACTTTTATATATGTGTGCGTGCGTGCGTGCGTGCGTGCGTGCGTGCGTGTGTGTGTGTGTGTATGTGTGTGTGTGTGTGTGTATACATGAGTAAATGTAAATTTTTTATTTAAAAAATGTACATATATAATATATATATATATATATCTCTATATGATATTATACATTAACAGCAACTTAGACTCTTAACTTTTTAACTTTATTTAATTACATTTTATCTGTAACTTTAATTATTTTTTATTTAATTTTTTTGAAGTTAAGTCTCAGACATAATACGCGATAATAGCGATAACTTAAAATGAGGTGAAAATTGCAAAAGATTGGCTTTCAATAATTTTTTATTCAATTTTGCTATCAATTTTATAGAAAAACAGTGAGAGACAAATTTTATTTTCTTCTCATAAAATTCTAAGAATTTTTTCAGAATTTGTTAATATCATATTTTTTTATGTTGATAAAAATAAAAAATGCAGTACTAAAAAGTTGATAAAAAATTCTAAAATTTCTATGAAAAGAAAATAAATGTTTTTTGTCTCTTGCAATTTTTTGTAAAGTCGAGTTTTTTGCAAGTTTTGTAAAGTTTGTTGTTGTATTTGAGTACTTTTCTCAGTTTAATCTATCTCAGTCTGCTCTATCTACACAAAAGTGCTTGGCAAAAACTTACGGGACATCTTGTATATCATTGCAAGAAAAGAAAGAAAACCTTTAATGTTTTTTTTAAGTAATTATATGTGAATTTATGTACTATCTATGTAACTTGTCACTTAAATTGCGCACTGAATTAATTTTTCGATCTTGAAACGCAAATCGATTGGACTACAATAGTAATATCACAAATTAAATTATTTAGTAATTTATTAATTTAAAAAATTATTTCAGTGCGCAATTTAATAAATTACTACATAGATACATAAATTTACATATAATAATTTAAGCACTTAAGATCCAGCTTGAAAGGTTTTCTTTCCTTTTTTTTGTGTGTGATATATACGGTCCTAGAATTTCTTTGTTTAATATATCATTGCAATATTTAATTAAGCACATTAAAAAAATCGCATCCAAAGACGACAGTGCAGGATTATTGACAAAAATCGTGGAACCTGAAAAGATGAATATAATGAACATTGAATCTCCTCAAAAAGATTATGCAAACACGTACCCATGTTCCCAAAACAGCCCCACATTTCAAAACAATCCCAAACAGTCTCAAAAGATCAGACATCATTCAATACACTTTCTAGTCAGTCTATTAAAGCATTAGAAAAAGATTCAGTTTTAAAATAAATACAATCATAAAAATTATAACGTAAAAATTATAATGTATTAGAACAATGCTTGACAATATTAGAAAAGATTTCATTTAAGAAACTATATGTAGAATGTATAGTTTTTTTAGCTAATACTCGTTAATTACTTTGAACAATATGCAGAGCTAGCATGTATTTGAAATACTTGTATTTAAAACACGGTTTTTTTGCACTTTATTTTGTAGCTTGTATTTTTTAAAATCGAAAAATTATAAGTTTTTTTTTATACCATGTAATTCAAATAATGCCATTAATTGTCAATCTTAATATTTAAAATACATACTTTCAATCTTTCATTATTAATAGTGAAATACAAAATATAAAATATTTTTATATGTTCCCATAAAATATAAAATATTTGCATCTGCACTGTTGGAATGCATAATACAAAATATAATTGATTAATATAATTTATCTTATAAATGTTTTTCAAATAAGTAAAAGTATTTCCATGCCTAGTCCTGATAATAATGTATGTGTAAATATTGATAATTGTTTAATTGTTTAAGCAAATTTTTAATTGAATAAGTTTATAATACATATTACAATCAATTGATTTGATTACAAGCGAAGTTAATTACAAATGACGAGATAGTAAATTACAGCGCAACTAGCTCAACACTTTATGATGACGATTTTTATTATCTTTTCTAATTCTTTGCTTTTCTTCCTCTTTTTTATTCTTGGTTCTTGTTTATCTTTGAAAAGAAGAATTAAAAAGATGAAAGAAGACAAGAGAAGAGGAAGAAAGAAGAAAAAGAGAGGAAGAAAGAAAATAGGAGAGAGAGCAAGAAGGGTTATTTATTCGTCTGACTAGTTTGACTGGGATTTTAATACAATATTATCCGCGTATAATTATCAATTATAGAGATATTGGGTATGGGAAAAAGTTTCCGCCCATTGTAGAAAGATGTCGTTAGTAGCATTGCTCGTGTATTTGATAGAATGGCAACACATGTTTTTGAAAGATATGTCCAAACTTTTGAACCTAATAGATGACATTTGTTTGAAGCGTAACAAAGAGTAATTTTTTTTGTGTTGAAGATGTCGGAATTTATTCCAAAAAAGCAACATTTGCGGGAAGTTTTACTCCATTATTTTATTTTAAAGAAAAGTGCTGCGGAAACGCATCGTTTGCTCGTAGATATTTACGGTGAGCATGCTCCATCAAAAACTAGTTGTAAAGAATGGTTTCGGCGATTCAACAGTAGTGATTTTGACGTGCGTGACAAAGAACGCGAAGGTGCACCGAAAAAATTTGAAGATGCAGAATTGCAAGCATTACTCGGAGAAGATTCGTGTTTATCGCTCGATAGGTTGGCAAAAGAGTTAAATGTTGATAGATCCACTGTTGGAAAACGTCTATACGCAATGGGAATGGTGCAAAAAGAAGGAAATTGGGTGCCATACAAATTGAAAGAGAGAGACATGGAAAGACGTTTAGTCATCTGCGAGATACTTCGTCAACGACAACAAAGGAAGGATTTTCTATATCGTATCGTAACTGGCGATGAAAAATGGATCTACTACGATAACCCTAAACGCTTGAAGGCATGGGTGATGCCAGGTGAACCAGGTCCATCAACGCCAAAACGAAATATTCATGCTTCGAAGATAATGTTGTGCATCTGGTGGGATCAAAGAGGTATTATATATTATGAGTTGCTCAAACCATCCGAAACCATCACTGGCGATCGTTATCGGCTACAACTGATACATTTAAACCAAGCTTTGAAAAAAAAAACGACCGGAATGGCATAATAGGCACAAGCTGATTATGTTACATGATAACGCTAGACCACACATTATAAAACCGGTCAAGAAATACTTGGAAGGAGTAAAGTGGGAAATTCTGCCTCACCCGCCGTATTCACCGGACATTGCTCCTTCAGATTTTCATTTGTTCCGATCCATGCAGTCAGCCCTTTCTGGAGAACGATTCAATTCTTATGAAGATATCAAAAAATGGCTTGATGAATGGATCGTTTCAAAAGAACCAAATTTTTTCATTCGAGGAATCCGTTTATTAGCAGAAAGGTGGGAGAAAGTTATCGCTTCCGAAGGAGCATACTTTGAATAAACTCACTTATATAGATTTGTTTTAATAAACACATCATTTTCATTTTAAAAAGGCGGAAACTTTTTCCCATACCCAATAATTGTAAAGACAAAATTGTAATTTTACGATAATATATAAGATAATACAGCATTACAAGTATACATACCTATTTATGGAGCATTTATATAATAAAAAATCATGAATTTAATAATATGTATTATCCAAAAATATTTATGTTAATATAATCGCTAATTTATATTAATTGTGGATAATGTCAGCATTCTTCAATTATCTCTGGGCTCTCGAGACTTTTTGTGAAAATTTATCCACGAT